GGGAGACAGAAGTGTTTCCCGATAAAATTGTTTTCTTTCTCTGAATATGCTGCATATTAGATTAGACTTGGTCTTTACCTTACAGTTGATTTAATCTTTTATCTTCCTCGGCTTTATTGTCTTTTTTTTCCTTTTCTTTTCAACTTAATTTTTTTTCAACTTATCCCAAAAATAACTATAAAAGGATGCTTCTTTACCATATTTTAATGATGTAGGCATTTTTACTATTTGCAACTCCTTTCAAAAGGTTCTGCTCAAGTGTAAGATGCAGTCTGGACTTTCTTTCAAGCGGAAAAAAAATTTGGGAAGCTTGTTGGTTGAATTTTCAGAATATGTTTTTCAGAAACACCTTGCTGATGATTTGATTGCAAACTATTTTACTTGGTTCTTAATATAAACTGTTCCTACCTATGCTAATGATATCATTACCTATACTAATATATTAAGTGTGCTTATTTGGATTCCAGGAACCCAGCTAGTTTTCTCCATGCTTACACATGTCTTCCACTTGCTTATGCGACAAGGCAAGCTGCTGGTGCCATCTTGCAAGATGTAGCTGACTCAGGGGTCTTGTTTGCCATATTAATGTGTAAACACAAGGTCTTGTTTCTATTTCTTATTCTTCTTTCAAATTGCACATTTCGGAGGCACATAGGTCTCAGTTTACTGTATTGTTTAAAACATCCTGTTTAAAGTTGATTTGCAGGTTATCAGTCTTGTTGGTGCACAGAAAGCATCACTTCACCCTGATGATATGCTATTGCTCTCCAACTTTGTTATGTCTTCTGAATCATTTAGGTAAGTTCTACTAACTTTTGATTCTTGCTTGGGCCATTTCCTTGTGTACCTGGTGGAAATGTTTGGAGATGATTCATAAATTCATGTTACACGTGCATATGCAAGTTCTACTGAATTTGCTGACCTTTTTGAATGAATGATTGGGCAAGGTTGCTAAATGTGGTCAGTTATCGAGGCAGGTTTGGCTTTGGGGATACAGATGTTACTGTAAATGGCCATGCTAATTTTAGTATTTGTCCTTGCATTCTTGGGAGGATCCTGCCGTAGCGTTTTACCATTATGAAATTTACCATTATTAATATGATTCTGTTTTTTCATGTAATTAGGTCACTTATGCTAATTGTTACATATGATATTTTACTAGATCTCATTCACTTAGGTTTCCACGTGCTTTAGTCAAGTTGTTTCCGCAACAAAGGATCACCTTACTTTTTCTTGAGGCTCCAAAACATTTAATCTGGCAGTCGAATGATCTGGGGTTGGTGTGGGAATTTTCACTTTTTATTTTTGGCTGCAGAAGAATTTAAATGGGGATCATGGTCAGTGACAGTTCATATAGCCGACCCAACTTGTTTGGGACGGAGGCGCAATAGTAGTTTTTATGTGTACGAGTCCCCATTAATTTGGTGTAATGACTCTGTACCTATAGATTCTCTCTTGGACATTTGTCTCGTGTCCAGAGGCAGCTTGTAGCTTTGGCTTAGCTAGGATTTGTTTATCATCATGACAGTGCATTCAAATTCGTTTCTTCTATCTGTGTAGTTGATGTTCCTACTTCCTAATGCTTGCTCCTCATTCTTGCATTGATTGTCTTTGACTTTTTTGTGCGCCCTTATTGACTGTGGACGATTGGTCACATATTACGTAACAATATAATGTATATTGATGACTGAGTGATTATATATTTTAACTGAGCGATAGCCTGGTGAAAAGGACCCTCTACCTGCAATCTTGATTGGGGTTTCGATCACCAAGAAAGAAAACTGGGAAAGGACCATTGACGACATTTGGACAGAGAGAATGTGGGGGTGGGGTTTCTTCCACAGAAAAAATTAAAATAAAAAAAAATTAAAGAGCATATGTTACGGCCCACTTAAGGTCTGTATTCCATTTATACTATCTAATTCCTGGAGGCTATACGATAACATGCTCATTGGTGTCATGCAGGACATCAGAATCCTTCTCACCAATATGCTTACCAAGATACAACCCCATGGCATTTCTACATGCTTATGTGCAGTACCTCGATGTAAGTTGGGCAGGTGTAGAATTATTCTTTAATTGTTCCCTCCTCCCAAAATGTTGTTAACTTTCCTTCAAAGGGTAATATTTATTACTTTGAATATGTACTACAGACATTAGATACATATTTAGAAAATTCAAATTTGTCAAAAGATATTATTTACTTTAATATTTGGCTGCTTTTCTTAAACAACTGTAAATCTCAACTCTCTTATTCCGTGCAATGCAAAGTAAGACCGCCAGCTTAGTATAGAGGAAGTATCTATTGATGAAAGATTTTAAGTTGAATCTCTTTTTGAATGGTAGTAGTAGGCTTCCTTACAAGAATTATAGGATTTTGGTGTTTCCAAAGTTTTCCATTTATGCTATTGTTATTCATAGCAAATTACCCAAATTCGGTGCTGTATATTACAGGTTGACACATATTTAATATTGCTTACTACAAGTTCAGATGCCTTTCATCATCTTAAAGATTGCAGGTAAATAATGCCTTTTCTCTTCTTATTTTTCAAGTAAATTTGGTTCTAGTACTCAGAGCTGAGAATTTTGCTTTTGTTTCCATTAGATCTGAACCATGGGAAATATTTGCCACTGCAATTTCCAGTGTATATCTATTCTTAAATTCTGTCAAGAGGCATTAGCTTGTTATAATCTATCTTGTAGGGTTCGTATTGAAGAGGTACTTCTGGAGTCCAATGTACTTGGTGAAGCTCAAAGATCCATGGTTGATGGTGGCATGCGCGTTGAGGATTTACCTACCGATCATGGTTCTCTTTCCGGAGCAGTCTCCCCTCATCTGGGTCAGCCTGGACATACTAGAGAGTCATCAGACAGATTTTCTGAAGCATTCATAGGTGTTGGTGGTCCTGCTGGACTTTGGCATTTTATGTATCGAAGTATTTATCTTGACCAGTATGTCTCATCCGAGTTTTCCTCACCAGTAAATAATAGACAACAGCAGAAAAGGTATTACTGCAAAATCAATGCTGTCATAACAAACAATACTTTTGTCTTTTTTTCTTTTCTTAACTGTGAGATGAGATATTCTATTGCAGGTTGTATAGAGCTTACCAGAAGCTTTATGCATCCATGCATGATAAAGGAGTTGGACCTCACAAAACTCAGTTCAGAAGGGATGAAAATTATGGTATGTTCTTGGGTGTTATTTATATGCAAAGCTCTTTAAGCGCTAAAACCTTTCTATTTATAGATTTAGTCGATGGAAGTCCAAGTTGCATGGATAATCCGATCTACGTATTGTGAATCTATTTTTCTTTCAAACTTAAAATAAGTCTACAGAACCTATCTATGACTCTTTCTGCTTGCATAGTACCATAGAGCAGGTTAATTTTTTATCTAAGCTTTGAGGTTGGGATGGAGAAGTTCTCCTTGGGTAGACACTGAGAGTTGTTGGGTAACAGATTTAAAAAAAGAAGGAAAAAGAAAACGGATGCATTCTCCTATTCATTTTTATTTTTCTTCATGGTTGCTGTTATTCTTATTATTCATGAGCAAGAAAAAAAAATCTAGTGAGTTGTAATTGCCAGAAATGTGTGATCCCTTGCAAGTTTGCAGGCAATGATTTCAAGTGGATTTTTTTAGTTAAGGATATACGTAGTAGTGAATTGGTACCAAGCCTCTTTGCTTTCCAGTATTGACCTTTAATTCTTTCTTTCTTTTTTTAAGTAGTTACTGAATTCTGGTAGGGGAAATTAGAAACGTAGAACAGAACAACTCTCAAAATTTTCTCCCATGATAATAGTTTAGTTCCTCTTGAATTGACTTCCTTACCTTATCTTGCAGTTCTGCTGTGCTGGGTTACTCAGGATTTCGAGCTTTATGCAGCATTTGATCCCCTGGCAGACAAGGTTTTATTATTTACTTTTCTTCTAACCTGTTGTTTGTCCAAGTGATATCTTGAATGTCACTTTTATTTATAGTCTTTCCACCAATCATTTTAATGGTGTTATATGAGCTTGAGGCGACTCCATTATATCTTTGGTGGAGGAATTCATGGGCCAGTTTAGATATTGAAACTGTGCCGATTCAAACCTTAGTTCACTTTTGTTCTGTACTGTGGTAAGCTGGTTACCACTTGCAGCGCCACATGAGATTTGTGCATGGCCCCCTACAGTTTGTTACCATACAACAGGAAGATAACAAGTTTAATTCAATATACCACAAGGTATTTAGCCCTAATGATTAAAATCAAAATGTCACTGTGACATGATTATTTGCTGAATTGAAGAATCTACCCCAATGCCTTAACTCCGAGATGATCTTATCCTGCCAACCCTAGATATATGTTGACTTACTTCTTAGGCATCATTGTCAAAGAGCTATTATTAGAGATGTTATGTAGCAACTGGCATCTGTCTTATCTACAGTTTTTTGTGTACTGAAATGCTGATAAATACGTCAAAGCTGATTTTGTCTTTCCAGATTTCGATGTGTCTTGTTAGTTTAATCTTCGCCAATGTGCTTGACATCTGGGGTTGTTCAACCATAGTGACCCTATCAATTTTCTTGTGCCAATTCTTTTGAAATGTAAGAACTGTTCTCTTTACATGTGTTCTTTCTGCTTTTTGACGTTTGGTAAGATTCCACCTTGCAGGCTCTAGCTATAAAAACTTGCAATCGAGTGTGTCAGTGGATCAAGAACATAGAAAATGAGATTTTCTTGTTAGGAGCGAGTCCTTTCTCATGGTGATGTTCCCCATCTTCGCTTCTTTACGTGTATTCTATTTTTCTTTTTGAACTTTTCTTTTCTCAAATTCCTTTAATAAGTTATGGCCTCATTTTTGTAGGCCTTCCATTTTTGTGGTTCTATATTTATATCTTGGTAATGAATGCCAATTGTAGTTTAAAGTTATGGCAGTCAAGATTTGAGTTGTCTCACTCCAGGCATCATTTCATTTTAGCTTGTACAATTTATGAACTTTTGTAGCACTATCTGTATCATCAATTCGTTGTAATTCTACATAATCATCTGATGGATTACTAAAGACAATTTCCCTCGCTGCATTTGCAGTGAGATTATCTTGTGTTCTTTTTATTTTATTATTATTTTTTACATATGGAGAAAAGATTACAAGATGGAAATTCGTACCTTACCAATAAGATGTAAGTGCAGGAAGATAGGGTACCATGATTCCCCAGATCATCTTTGTTTAATACCCATGGTATATAGAAGATTTTGGTGAATTTGGAATGTGATGTTATATTGGGATTAAAGCACAACGGAATATGGTTGCAACCATTTATTCCTTAATTCCCATCTCTTTTTTTCCGCGTGAGGGGAAGGGCGTTTAGTTTGGAACTTGACACCAACTTATAAACTTCAACAAAATATCCAATGATTTGGAAATAATTGGAAATTGGATATTCAGTGTAGAATTATCTTGTTCCCTATGCAAGATAAGTTGCACAATATATTGTATTACACAAAACCTCTGAGATGGGCTATTTTATTTTTCCTATTGTGTCGAGTATAGAGTGAACCATGCCGCAGCCTCGCAACTATTCTTGTTCTGCAGCTAGGATTCGCGCTGTCATCTGCATCAAATGCAAATAAAGCTATTGTGAGGAGTGAGGACTCCACAGAAATGTAAGGAACTAAACGATGAAAGTGCAATTCACTTATAAAGACCTAGTAGATCTACACTTCCATCCTACCAATCTTGTCTCAGCCACATACAACACAGTAAAAGAAAGGTCTATTGATTAAAACGATGGGAAAAAATTGAATATAGTTATCGTCTTGTAAACCATGATATGGAAAACGGGTATCTCTCCCCCACTGTAAATACATATGGCACGAACTTTCGTATGTGCAATGAATACAAAGATATGAAGGTCAACCTTAAAGATGGCTACCTCTAATGTTCACAAATGTTAATAATGATATGATACTGTAAAGAAAATAATAATCTTAATGAAATTTGGCTGAAAAAAGATAAAGAAGAAAACTTAGAAATTGACGACGAACATACACAGAACAACTCCGTATTAACAGTTATGACGACTTGAACCAAGTAGGCACAAACTTCATACAGCAACTGCTTCAGGCCTTTTGCTTGTCTTGATTCCTTTAATAGCTGCAACATGTTTACACAATGTGTAAGTTCTAAGTTTATTAGTTAACTAGTCCTTGGCCGCAACACGGTCTTTCCCATATAATTAGTAAAAATTATATCGTTTTGTACATAAATAGTAAAACACTTTGAATAATGATTGCATTTATAAGAAAAGGATTGCACTTAAAAATCATAACAATCTGAATATTTATGCTAAGAAAAATAGAAGGAGAAGCCAAGATATAAGAACTGTAATGTTAGCTCAAAAAAATTACTTCCCGTTTCAATTTATGTGAACCTATTTTGTTTTTAGCATGTACCAAAAAGAATAACCTTTTTCAAATTTTTAAATAATTTTACATTATGTTGATTTATAGCCACATAAAATATATGTGCCTTATTTTACACCACACAAATCCAAAAGTTTTCCCTTAATTTTTTATTAAACTCTACGCACAGTCAAATAGGTTCACATAAATTGAAATGGATGGAGTATTATACGCATATGAAGTTAAAGAGCTTAACTTTGTAGAGTGAAGAATTTAGATACATGTACTTTAATAAATTCTTTGATAATCCCAAGTCGAGTTAATGTTACAAAACTAACTTTTGTTATTAACGTTGAAGGTATTATTAATATAACTTTTAAGGGCATAAAAGTTCAATAATATTATAGGGTCATTTTGGTCTTTCATATTCAACTTTTGATCTTCATGCTTATAATATAGTATGATAAACATCAAATTCTGCGTCTCTCAGTAAGGCAAAGTAAAATAGTCTTTAGATACTTGCCTTCAGCATAATCAGGAGCTCCAAAAACGGCAGAACCAGCTACCAAAGCGTTGGCTCCAGCTTCAATGACCTGCAACAAAAAATGATGGTTAAATTGTACTCTCATATGTCAGTTGCTGCAGGCTGTTTATGGTCATGGTATGGATCAATGGTTGGTTGCTTTGATGCACAATGTTCTCTTTGTCATCATCACATACAATTCTCTATAATTTGAGAAGTAGATTACACTTTGTTACAATATAAAACAAGTTTGCTAAAATAAATGGCAAGATATGGAGAAAGATAAGGCTGTGCTCCATGAAACCTGATAGAATATTAGAACAATTTAGAAAAGATTCGAATTCACAAGGTACGAATCAAGTAGTAACATTTGCACGCCACTTGAAATGCTGCAGGTAAGATTTATCCTTTCTTCACATCCTATGACTTATTCGAATACATAAGATGCCAAATAAATATTTTCAGATTTAATGAGGGTCAAGCGACAAGCTAGTTGAGAGAGGAGTTATAATCACGGGAGAGCATCAATCACCTTGTAAGCATTTTTGGGGCCAACACCACCGTCAACTTCAATCCAAGGGTTTAGTCCCTGCAGTGTTAACATAGGCATGTCATTGCATTGCACAGTTCGCACTTTGCAGAGACTGGAAAAAGGGTAAAGGAATTACCCTCTCTGCGCAGATTTTTCTCAAGTCTGAGATCTTCTTGACCTGACTTTCAATGAAGCTCTGTCCCCCAAATCCAGGGTTTACAGACATTATCAGCACCAGATCAACAGCTGTAGCACAAATAAAAATAAAGACAAGCAATTTATCACTTTGGATCCAATGTTTAATGACTTACCTGACCTAGCCTTCTAGAGGCAGTATACAGGTTATAGACTGGACGATCACTGGTACAACACCCCCACCCCCACCCCGTCCAAAAGGCCAGGAGCCAGAACTGACATTTGGAGCATCGACGACATAAAACAGGAGCCCAACAACCAAGAATAAAGATTGGTTCTAGCTCTAATAGCATATTAAGAATAATATACCTTGAGCCTAACTTAAAACCAAAAGCTAGCTCATGAGGAAGGATTATGAAAGACCAAATAAAGGGTCAGGAACACATACTCTCAACTAATGTGGGACTCTTAACACCTTGCTTTCGAACCAGCATCTTTAAGCTCAGGTTTCCCTGCTGCACGCAGATTAATATACAAGTAGTTTGTGAATAAGTTCTCGATTTATGCTTCTTTTTTCTTAGTGTTGTCCTTGTCTGTGTCAGTAGCTTTAGTACATGAGTTAGCATTATTTATGTATTTTCGTATTCCTTGACTTTTGTGTTTACTTGTCGTTGCTTTCATTCTGGCCTTCTGGCTACAATTCTCAGTTTTAGTTTTGTATCTTTGTATTTTGGCTTCAGTTTTCTGACTGGTGTGCTTGCTGCTGCCCTTCTTTTATTTTTCCTAAGTCGAGGGTCTTCCGGAAACAACCTCTCTGCCTTCTTAAAGGTAGGGGTAAGGTCTGCGTACATTTACCCTCCCCAGACCCCACTTGTGGGATTACACTGGGTTTTTTGTTGTTGTTGTTGTAGTTCAAGGGCACACTTTCCAAGCTTTCGCTTCATCGCCAATCTTAAACCGTTGCGACATTGTACAGTACATTCAGTATAGGTAAGCCTAATGATTTAACTAGCAGGATCTAAGGTGCCTTTACATGCTTTTCTACCATACAAAGCCAACTTTAAAACATTCCCTATGTATATTACCTATTAGAGGAGTACATTTCCAACAATTCCCGATTTCACTATTGACTCTCACATAACCGGTATTAAAGAAGAAAGTTGAAGCACAAAAATAATACGAAATACACTAAGAGTAATCATCTCTGAAAAATTGTCTTTAAGAAGCAACATCTTACCATCAAGAACATATTCAATTGCGGTTAAAGGGGTTCCAGGATTGAGGACAACCCCAGCTTTAGCTCCCAAACTTTTAATCTGAACCAGAAATAATTACAAAGGTGGTCAAGAAAAACTTAAATAATGTGAATAATGGATAAGACAGAGGAAAAACACAAGAAGCTAACCATGAAGTTAGAACTATCTTTGGGTAACAAAATCACCAGCTGAAATTCTATATCACATATAAGGCTCCCAACAATTACAAATTACAGCACACCATTTTCAATATCAACACCTAACCATAATCCTATATATTTTTTCTAGAAGGAATAGTTCATTTTAAATAGAAAAAGTAGATCTAATGTAGAAGGTAATCAGAAAAGTAAAAAAAAAAACTCCAAATAAATAAATATTCGATATAAGAAAAACTAGCACTCTACATTTTCTTTTCTAGTCCCTATGATGTGAGTTTGGATGTGTTGCATCATGAAAAAAGTGTTCAAGAGACATTATCTACAAGAAAAGTAATAAAATTTTATCACGAATAATTAGTCAATTAAACCAGCAAGTTATTTTTAACTTATATCCAAAAAGAAAAGCATGCAATAAAGGTAAATGAAAAACACCAGTATTTAGACTTCTGATAAAGGACACCGAGAATCATGGATTGATCTCACAATCGAAAAACTTTAGACTGGGGGTCATTCTGTTACATCTGCACTTATGTATCACATTCCTAGCAAGCATGCCTTTGAGCATTAAAAGGTCTGAAGGATAATAGAAGCAAGAGTAAATCTTTTTAGATAAGAGATGCCAAATTTCAGAAGATCGACAATGACACTGAACAAGTCCCACATACAAAAATTTTACCAAGGGTAAGGCAGTTGGTAGGCCTTATCCCGCCAAAGGAAATCTTTTAGCAAATTTTGTAGGTTGCTCCTACAGAAGAATGCAGAAAAAATCATAGAAACAAACAACACAATTCGTTGTTTGAGAGATCACTTTTAGCAGTTATCTTGAGGCTCACACAAATAGCTGCAGCAGCCAAAGAAAAGCCATGCACCACTACCACTACGATAGCTTAATCTGAATGTCATACTGTGCGGTTACTACCTTCATAACATTTGTATATGAGAACAGCTAAAAGCCCTTTACTATTTGTATTTGATCCAAAAATATATTTTTCATGGGCTAACCTATTATGTAATCCAAAAAAGTCGGAATGAAGAGGAATTCCTCAGGTTGCAGGACACCAACACTTTTGAAAACATTGTTGACAAGATTTTTTCAAGACTCCTATATTGTAAGTACAGGAACAAAAGAAAGAAAGCAAGAAAGAGAAATTCTTACCTGATTTATTGTACGATGCAAGTGGATGGTTGAAGATTGCTCACAGTGAACACTGACAATATCAGCACCAGCTTTTATGAAATCAGGTACTCTCTGGTCAGGTTCGACAATCATCTGCAATGGTCCGTTGACATAACATTAGCAAAAACATTCTCATGCCTATAGAACTGAAATTAGTTTTACCACATGAAAAATGGAAAATACCAGATGCACATCCAATGGAAGATCAGTGATAGGGCGCAAGGAATCAACTACAAGGGGTCCAATAGTTATATTTGGAACAAATCGACCATCCATCACATCTACATGAATCCAGTCGCAGCCTGCCTGCTCAACTGCTTTTACCTAAATGCATGAAAGACACATTAACCAACTTACGAGCCATTTTTATGAGAAATCACAAACAAAAATGAAGAAATTCATAAAAGAACTTGACCTAAAAGCAGGAAGGCAAAATGTGTGTACTCAATTTATCAAACTTGTAATGTAATAGCAAATTTCCTCATATCTTGTTTCCAAACAAAACTACACCTTTATAAGATCGATATAAAAATGATAAGAGCAAGGGATTCATATGACAACAAACCTGCTCTCCTAATTTAGAAAAGTTAGCAGAAAGGATGGATGGAGAAACAATAATATCACTTTTCGAAAACTTATCCACCCGAGAAGAAGCCTTCACCACTGTTTGAACTCTCCTCCTGCATTTATAAACATATATTAGGAGCAATAATATTTGGACAGATTGTGACGCTATTGTAAGGGGCATAGTTGCAGAAAGAGAAGGAACAACTAGAAGACTTCCTATAAAGTAAGAAAGGAACATCCAGTTGTTAGCAGGAAAAGAAAACAAATGGCTCGTCTCCAAAAAGAAAAAAGATGCATAAAGGCAGCTGGTATTGCAAGAAATTGGCTCATTTTTACCAATGTTTCAAAAGGCGTGGGCGACAGACGAGCCGAAAGCCTTGAAGCGCAGGGCGTAAGCCCCATGAGTATTTAATTTTTAAAACTTTATAAATTAATAAAATAAATATATAAAAAATACATTAAAATTGTAAAAAAATTCAAGAAAATTATAAAATTAGTAGAAAAAAAAAATATATATATATATATACACTATAAAAACGCTAACGTGTGCATGAACCACACAAAAGAATTTTTTTTACTTGAAAAAAAAAAGACGTAAAGATGCATTACACCTATAATTAACATGATTATGATCAAACATACTTAGATTTATAAAAATAACATTCTAGTTCCTAATAATCAAAGAATAAAAATGATGCTTAATAAAATAAATATATTGTTTAAAAACCGAAAACTAGATAACAAATTACAAATATTATTGTAAAATACAATAGAGTCATCAAAATAATATCTAAACTAGAGCGATACCAAAAAAATTCTAAATCCAAAAACTAACTTGAAAAGAAGAAATTAAAGAATAAAAGAAATGAAGTATAAACAAGGAAAATGCAAGCTTGTAAGTAGAGTAATAATTTGAGATTTTTAGTTTGAAAATTACTATGAGTTAATTTTTGGATGTTTTAAGTTTTAAAAAAAAAAATATTTATTGAGCAATTTTGGCGCAAATTTAAAAAAGTTTTCAGGGCTTACGCCCCAAATGATGCCCAGAATTTTGAGACGCCTAAGCGAACGCTTAGAATGTCAGGGCTTCCGCCCCATGATACTTACGCCCCATCAGTATGCCTCGGTGCGTTTTTGGTACGCCTCGCCCCAAGGCTCAGCCTGGGGCTCACCCACAAAACACCTTTTAAAACACTTCTTTTTACCACTACATAAGTAAATTTGCATCACCAACTGAGCATAATATCATCAGAGAGATAAAGAGCTAATGGCAACTGGAATCAATTCAAGTTAATTGGCGCTTGTTGAAAAACATACAAATCACAGTGACTTGAGCAAGAATATTAGAATGTCAAAAGAACTTGACAATACCAAGAAGCATTTCCAAATGACTTTACATTATCAGTCAATAGCCAATTGAAGAGGGTGGTTTGTTGATGCTGTTAGATTCTAAATTGCCGCCAAAGGCAATGCTAAAGAGAACAAGAATTGCATATTATCCAGCTTATAATGTTGACTCTTTAAGACCATTTGCTTACCATGCACAGAGGAAACAAATTTCAAATAAGAATGACATTTAAACACTTCCATCAGGCTTTATTAGAACCTTACTGGTTTAAGCTCAGCAAGGCATATTCACAAACATAAGAGAGACCTGGAATATCTTTATCGTCCTCTACATTACATATCTAAAACCCCAGTGCAAGAAAGCCTTCTTTTTCAGCCTTGAACGGAACTCAGGGCTTTACCAACTTTCATCAATCATTTCCTTTACTTCCAGACAAATAAAATTCCAAGGGCCCTATATCGCTGATTAACACATATAATTCCTTCTAAGCCAATAAACTTGACCTTCTTTCCCTTTTTAGACCATCAGAAAAAAATTAACCACTTCCCTCTAACAATTCAAATAATCATAAGTTAGTACTGCCTAATACTATTTCGAACTTAACTGGATATTCTACCAACTTGTTATTTCTTTCACACATGATCTTAAACAGTTCTTTTTTTTTTAAAAAAAAACAACTCAATTTGATAATCTCCTCAAACATTTTACTCTAATGATTGCCATGTCAAATTAGGTCTACTTTATCGGCAAGGATGAGAATATCACAAGTGAACCAAAAGGAACACCCAAAACATCAAGGTGAAATTCTTATGCGGAATTGACTGATTCAAGACTTTCCGCAGCAGACTAGTAGTCAAGTTTTCTTTCCAACATTAACTTTTTAAGTACAAAGATTACAAGCAAACGAATTGGGGCAATAAAGAATATAAAGACTTAAATCTTTTTGATAAAGAAGAAAAAACCTGGTGAAAGTGAGTGAATTGGGCTTTTGAAGGTTAAGACTCCCGCCAAATCCATTAATTTGGGATTGTAACAGAGTTGATGAACCCACACAAGAAGCTGTTGTTGCCATTGAAATTTCCTTCTTTTTTTCTCTTGCAGCAAACTGAAATTTTGGGAATTGAAGAGGAGAAAGTTTGGTGCTTTGTCAATTTGAAAGCACAGGAGCTTAAAATTTCAACTACCCTCTTTAACTTCTGAGACTTCCAAGACAAGAAGAACGAAAAAAAACTGTTATTTTGGAGGAAAATCAAGAAAGAAATATCAGATTGACACGTGTCCGATTTGGTTTTCGCATAGCGGCTTTGCTTATCTTCAATGGTTGGCTCTTCTCTGTTGCTGACTCAATTTGTAGGGACTATAGGGACTGCCCTTCCTCCATTTACCGCATGATGGGCACAAGCGCAGAAAGAGAAGAGAAGATATCACCCACCCCCACCCTACCCCACCCCACCCCCAAAATGCCAAACCTGAAGACTAAAGGCCGAAGCCAAAAGCCACTTTTTCTCTTGACTTTTTTTTTGAGTTTCCTATAATTCGTATTGAAACCCAACTATATTCTAATTCTAATTGGTACTCTGCGGGGCCCATTCGGGGAAATTTTCTTGCCGTGTTTACTAATCTTTGCATCGGTAACGACGCTACAAACTTTAGAATTAATTACACCCTCCATAATTATTTATGTGACAATTCTCTATGGTATAAGAAAATAATATATTTTTATAGTATTTAAAATAATTTAATTTTATATTACTCTTTCCGTCTTATATTAATAGTCGTGATTACTAGAAATAATTATCTAAAATTATTTTTAGAATTTCAAGATAAAATTATTTTTATAAAATTAATTATATCTTAAGATATAAATAAGAGTAGAATAGTCTAATCTCTTTCCTAATTAATATTTTTTAAGAGACGTGTAAAAGAGAAGACGGAGAGAGTACTTTACTAGTAAGATTAATTTATAACTACACAAACTTTAAAAGTCCTTTTTTTTTTGTCTGTATGCTTATATGTTTCGGTCTCTTTTTTTGGTAACTAATTTTAATAATTATATTTAAATGATTTGATAGTACATATTCTGAAGGAAGGCGAAAATTACTGCAAGATTTAACAGCACAACAGAATTATCTTTATATTTTACTATCTTGGACTCTTACCAAATGAGTTGGTGATAGCTATGAATAAGAAATTAATTTAAAAGCAAAACTATTAGACAAAGGTATCTTACATTTGGTATTAGTCTAGTTTTATATGTAAAAATAGTACGGGCTAGCCAGTTTTCAAATTGGTCATTCAAAAATAGCCGGTATTTGCAAAGTCATTAAAAAATAGTCACTATTTTGCTGCAACACGGAAAGTTCCAGCATAATATACTGAAGCTCCAATATATTATGCTGCAGTATTTTTCGAATTTTGAACAGTATTTTCATTCAAATTTATCTTTATATAAAAAGTGGCTAAAATTCGATTACTTTAGAAACTGTAGCTATTTTTAAGTAAACACTATTTTTGAATTTCTCCCGTTTTATATGCCAGCTCTCTAAAAGTCAAAGCCCACCGTAATAGAAAGTCGAAGGATAAACATCCAATAATGATTTTCTTCCACTTTTGGACTAAGTTACTCCCTTAAGTTTGTTTGAATACAAGAAATTAATAATTGCAGTGAAGTTTGGATATCTTAAAACAAACGGTAACAAACTTAAATTAGGAACTTTTTTTTTTATGTAAAATATTTTTCGTACAATGGTAACAATTTATTATGATTACGTGATTTTATTAAGTAAACATATATAGTATTAATTGTAAACATATATAATATTGATTGACTATGATCAAGCGAGATGCATCTATTTTTTTCACAGTCTAAATGTATGATGCGTCTATTTATAAATTCATATGCATTATTAATTAGGTGTAAACAGATAAAAAATTTACCTTTTTTGTACAGTTATGATTGGTTTTAGGAGTAATTTATATGTGTAGTGAGCACGTGAACTCACACTAACACACAATCACACACACGCAGACAAATCTCTCCAATGTGGATATCGACAAATTCCAAAAAAAAAAAATTCAAGACTATTTTTTTTCTCTTTTTATTTTCAAAATGATCCAACATATTTCTCTCAGAACCGACAAAATGTGTACGTGGATGTGGTTCAAATTGTTAAATATGAACTCGTTTATAATTTACAGTATAATTTCTCTTAGACGTAGTTCGAATTATAATTTCTTGATCAGCAAGTATTATTGAGAGTTAAATGCGTCTGAAATAGTAATGCATTGAATGGCATAACGAATATAAAAGGTCAAAGATAAAGGCCACATATGTTATGTTTGTCCAAATTTGACCCTCATTCTTTGGATGATCAAAAGCAGCAAAGAATTTAATAGCCAAAATGAAAAAGGCAGCAGCCTAGGAAGCTTATGTATAGCAAACAAGAAAATAGCAATTAGTGTGACACTGATAAGAGGCAAGATGAAGTGCACTCAGCCCACAAAGGAAAGCAATCCTCAGTAATTAATACTAGTAATTAAGAAAGAATGATTAATTTGGTACATAATGTATCCATCAACGTCTTAATTTGCATTTGCATAATTGCATTTGCATGTCACCCAAGACTTGAGTAGGGACTGCAACCAATACTTTGTTTCTTGCTCTAATTTTAGAACACATTCTACTACATGCCAATTTTGTCTTTCTGCACATTTGCAATTTTGTATTTCAGTTTTGATTGATACCCCTGGTTCATGATTGGAGTAACTATGAAGAGATTCAAGAAAACCTCCAATGATCAGCTAGTTTCTTCCAATCGCGAATCCAGTGTTGTTTTAAAGATTTCAGAGTCGAAATGGGGTCTCAATCCTATGACTCTTATGGCTTTTTTCGTCGTTTGTTTGATGGTTCTGACTCTTGTATTCTCAGTTGCCATAGTTTTTGGGAACTTACCTCCTGATTGCTTGTGGACTTTGGCTGAAGCTAGATTTTTTCATGTTAAACCTTCAGAAGGTATTTCATTTCTTCTTTATTTTCTCAACTTTGCCTTTTGATTCACTTATATTACTACTAGTAAACAAACTTAATCTATTCTTCTTCTTTTTTCAGCCACAGTTTCTGAAGATGATATTCCTCGGCCAGTGATAATGCCAAAAGATAAACTATTAGGTGGCCTTCTTCCTTCTGGATTTGATGAAACATCTTGCTTGAGTAGGTATGAATCACTCTTATATATCAAAGGTCTGCGCCATAAGCCTTCGTCTTATCTTATCTCGAGGTTAAGAAGATACGAAGCTCTACATAAGCAATGTGGACCGTATACAGAATTATATAACAGAACTGTCGACCTTATAAAATCTGGTGATCAATACAGTACTAGTTCTTCAGTTTGTAATTATGTGATTTGGGTATCCTTTAGTGGTTTAGGGAACAGAATACTAACCTTAACTTCTGCTTTTCTTTATGCTCTTCTCACAAACAGAGTCCTTCTTGTTGACCCCAGAGTTAATTTACCTGACTTATTCTGTGAACCTTTTCCTCAAGTTTCCTGGTTGCTTCCCTCAGATTTTCCCATACTTGATCAGTTCAGTACCTTTAATCAGAAATCTCCACTTTCTTATGGTTATATGGTGAGAAATAATAAGTCAAGAATACATCCCTTCATGTACCTTCATTTAAATCATGACTATGATGGTCAAGACAAATTATTTTTCTGTGACACTGACCAAACTTTTCTCAAGAAAATCCCTTGGTTATTTGTGAAGTCAAATAACTATTATGTCCCTGCTCTTTTCTTGATCCCATCTTTTGAGCAAGAGTTAAACAATCTTTTTCCAGAGAAAGGAACTGTGTTCCACTTTTTAGGTAGGTACCTTTTCCATCCCACAAATTCTGTATGGGGACTTATTACTAGGTACTATCAAGCTTATTTGGCCAATGCAGATGAAAAAATAGGGATTCAAATTAGAGTCTTTGATTTAGGTGTAGGTAATTTTAAGTATGTATTGGATCAGATTTTAGCCTGTACAGCAAAGGAGAATCTACTGCCACGGGTTAACCCGAATGAGCCTATAGTCAATTCATCTGGCAAGACGAAGACTATAAGCATATTGATGACATCTCTAAGTCCAAGATATTTTGAGGAGATCAGGAACATGTATTGGGAAAATCCTACTGTAACAGGAGAGATTGTTAGTGTTTACCAGCCAAGTCATGAGGAGCATCAACAAACTGAGAAGCTGATGCACGATAGGAAGGCGTGGGCAGAGATGTATTTGCTGAGTTTAACTGACAAATTGGTTACAAGTGCATGGTCTACTTTTGGATATGTAGCTCAGGGTCTTGGAGGTTTGAAGCCCTGGATTTTGTACAAGTTTGAGAATGGGACAGTACATAATCCACCTTGTTTTCGCGATATGTCTTTGGAGCCATGTTATCATTCCCCTCCAAATTATGACTGCAAAAAGAAAACAGGAAGTTATAACACAGGTAATGTTGTTCCTCATGTGAGACATTGTAAGGATATGAGCTGGGGTTTAAAGCTATTTGATCAGAATGGTGAATTGTAACATGTTAGAATAAGGGAAACACAATTGTTGCAGGACTAATAATTATAACTTACTACACGATTCTTTCATTGACACGATTCTTTTGATGATAGGCAATGATGCAACTTAGAGTGAAGAAGAGAAAAAATCATATTTTTCAGTGTTTAATGAAAGTTAAACCATAAATTTCTGTCTATGTGTGGAGTTTTTTATTTTATTTAATGGTAAGTATTCGTACTTTTTGCTACATCATTGTATACTCAGCATTTCTCTGAGCAACTGGCAAAAAAATGGATGAGTTCACCTTGGTGGAAAATAAGATTTTCAACGCACCACAAATATACATGAGCGTGTGTGTGCGCAACTCGCTAAACCATAATTCTATGGTTATAAACAGGATCTTCTCCCCCAGAACCAAAACTCGGTAAACAGACAAAATCGAAATGAAATGGATAGAGCTCGACATCACAGAAGCAGTCATCAACTGGAGCTATGAAAATCTACCTTACCAACGGATCGGAGAGATGATAGATTGCCAAAGCACTCCTGCTACTTGCGACGATCCTCTCTCTACCGATTTGTCCCCGATGCACAGCCTGGGCTCATAGAGGGATTAGGCTAAACGTCTTCCTTTCTTCTTGAATCCGAATGGATGGAAAAAGCGAGGCTCAATCACAAATAAAAGAAAAAGCGAGGCTCAATCACAAATAAAAGGGCAGCCCGATGCACTAAGTTCCTGCTATGAGCGGGGTCCGGGGAGGGACCGAATAGCGGGGTCCGGGGAGGGACCGAAACACAAGGGTCTCTTGTAGACAGCATATTCGCACGGCTCGAACCCGTAACCTCCTGGTCACATGGTAACAACTTTACCAATTGCGCCAAGGCTCCCTTCAAATAAAGAATATCACTATTACCTTAAATTCTAAATTAAGCAAATGATATAGGAGGATCATCCATCAATGGAATTTGGATAATAAGGTTACTACTAGACTCTTCACTGCACGACAGACAATGGATTACACTTAATATTATCAAGATTTACGTCATTATAGTTTTGTAGACACTTTGATGTATTAATATTGAAACAATTACGTAACAAAACAATTTGTAAGAAAGAAAATGGAAGATTCTAAATATTTGAATGAACTTTACTCTATCAGAATCGTGATATATTTTTGCACTAATGTTTTTCTCTGTCGTGACATATGATCTTGGTCACTATTTTATCAATTCTCCGTTCCTTCATAAATTAAAACTAAACTACTGATATGTTTACACATCAGGAAATTTTATCGAGCTCAATTTACATGGTATCGATGCCTGCAAGGCAACCAGTTATGTAAAGGAGGTTGTTAGTCATCCGCCTGCTCGCAACAAATTTCAGCTTCTACCCTGTGCTAATAAAACAGCCTGCAGTTATTTGAACCCAACTAGCCAGTATCAGAATCTGAAAATTCCGCTTGGCAAGCATCTTTAGGTTCCACGTCAGTCATAGAAGGTGGAACAAGATCGTTTCTTGGGCGATTTCTTCGCTTTCGTGTGGTTGTGTCCTGCAAAGAGATATAACGTGGAAAGGATCGATGTTACGTAATTTCCAAAGAGGTCAATGAATATCGTTTACGGAATAAATTGAAATAGCCTAGGGCCTAGTGCTTGCATGGGCTAGCCCAGAGCAAGTTTTAGGTACATTGTATCACTACCCTTGCACTTGGCTGAGTGTGATCGGACTCTCTGGTCTGCTGGCTCAAATGTTCTGGCTCATTGGACCTCTCGCTTGAATGATCTGATTCGCTTGACTGAGCTACCTGACTTCTCCTCAGCCAAACACTACCAAATGAGATTAATGATGCCAGGAGCAGAAAGGGTCCAACCCTTGGATCACCACTGTAATCGTGAATTCTATTTAGGAAACTTTTGATTCTATGTTTAAATCCTCCATTAGGGCCAACGGTTCCTTGAGACCAAGATGACCAACTGGAATCTGCATCCTCCGGAACCAATTCAGGAGTCCTAGTTCTCTGTAACAAAATGGGTATAAAGATACAGAATTAGAAAAGGAATCTATAAAAGGGCTAAAGACAGCTTTCTGCAGTTATACATCCTTGCAATCAACATATGGATACTTAAATAACATGAGAAACCATTATCTCATAATGATATCGATATCTAATACAATATTAAAAGGAGATGGCTCCTACCACTTCTCCCTCGTTGATTAAGTACCTTCCAGACTAGTATCCATAATTCCATTCAAGTGAGCGATAGATCAATCTTACATAGAGATTTAGTTGCAAGGTGTAAAAGAAATTGTGCATGCACAAGTTCTGGTGTACCATCTTCAACCAACTGGCAATTGCTGTCATGAATAGAGCTTACAATCTTGAAGGAGGGGTCATCATTCATAAGATCCAATTTTAGAACCCCTAAACCACCTTTGAATCAATTAAAGCAAACACGTTTCAACAGAGAGATTTTTGAAATTAACTTACAAATGAAGGAAGATTCTTGGAGTCGCCATCTTTGATTATCTCAGAAATCCATTGTACAATCTGTCATTCCAATATACAATACGTTAGATATTCAGGTGTAATGATCATAAATATTCTCATAAAATAGCTGGCTTCGTACAAGAATGAAGGTCCAACAAATCTCAGGATAGACTATATTTTCCTATGTAGGTTATTCCCCATGTATGCTAATAATTCAGTCAAATACAGACAGGGCAAACGTTTAGAGAGCCAAGCGTTATTTGCTAATGTAGCATATTACTAGCATGTTCTACAAGCAGGAGGGTTTTGACTATAAATGAGGCAGTCTTAGTAGATGGAAATGAATGAATTGTGTTCGCATAGAACAGAGCTTCCAACAAGTTTATCTGGCTTCACAACACATATTTTCCCTGATGAGGGACCTTGTTTAACTATCTAAAAGTGGTATCATGCATCAAACATGTGATCCATATCATCAATGAGGGAAAGGAAACGACCCTTTAGCTCCAACCTCCAAAATTAACTCATCTCCTAAACGTGTCTACATAAACATGTACTTTTTGTTCAAAGAAAGAAAACCACTGGGAAAGGGAAATAGTTTAGGAGGGAAAAAATAGAGGTAAATGCTCAATTAGAAGCAATTATCAAAGGACTGCTAGTCACTGTGTGGACTGCAGAGAGCCATGGAATGGGATTTAGAAATTGCAACCAGGTGACAGAATTGGTTTTGCTTCCATCTCCTATCTTTCTCGTTCTACTTGTGTTTTTGCCATGGGTTGAACTGAATTCTTACAGTTTGGAGGGACGAACCACCAGCTTGTGCACAAGTGAAGGCTGTCATAGATTGTCCAATACAAAGGCTGTATTCAACAGAAAAATAAATTGCACCACAGAACAAGGAAGATGATGTTTTGCTGTCATGGAACATTTTATAGATAAACTAACGAGTTTATGCTCAATTACAGAAGAATGTGGCAGTAGATCCATCATGTGACTTGCTAAGGGAATTTAATGGAACCTGTCAGTCTACTAACCTCTTCAATTTTATTAGAACCATTGTATTTTGCCACAAGCTGAGATGCAGGATCAGCTTCAACATTGTACAACTCTGAGTATCTGCTGGTCGGCTGCTTTTCAACATCCTCTGTAACATTCCTCTCATAGCGTACGATAAACAATTGTGCTACGTCTGTTATATCCCTCCTCGGCCCACAGGTCTCATAACTATTTTCTGAATTAATGTAGAAGAAACAGTAACTCTGTACAAAAGGAGAAGCTATTAGCATTCAACGTGACAGAAAATCATAGTTTTGCTCAAAGAACAATCATCCAACCCGATGGACCTCATGGGTTCCACAAAGTAATAAAATAATCAGCCAAGTCTTACATGCTTAGATAATATAACTGAAGTCTATAATTAGAAGAATAATAGCAGAAAAGGGAAAGAAAGATAGTTATATGAATCACATTCAAGTTCAGGGAGCATCTCTCAAATACATTAAGGAACAAAAGGTTTTTCAAAGCATAAGGATTCTTCAAGCTTTACCAAGGTTTGGATCCCAAAACCAACTGGAAATTTAGAGCCTACCAGCTAATGAATCAACTAAGCCTTGATCTCAAATTAGTTGGGGCCGGGTTATATGAATCCTCCATATCCATTATGCTTTAATAGCTAAATAAAATGAAACCATCAAAGTAATCGTTAATGCACCTTCTCCAAAATTGTGCACAAAGGAAGAATTTGCAAATCTACAGAAATGCCACTAGAGCTGAAATTTTCAGGAAAAGGTGTAAGAATCTGAGATGGGAGGTTGAATCGGCCCAAACAAGTAAATAAAGATGCCTAGTTAAGCATCTAAGATGAGGTTGTAGGAGTTTGATCTTCACTCTAGACAATAAATTCTAAAAAAGCTCCTCTAGACAATAAATTCTAAAAAACCTCTACATGCATGCTTTTCTGCAGTTTGTCATGGACTCCGTCAGTCTGTCAAAAGATAACTCCTACAGGTCATGTTCACCACGAAATGGGTATGCTATTAATAGATTAATTTTATAAAATAAAAAAGAGGATGCTAATTATTGTGCAAAAAGCTATTGGTGCTTCAGAAAATGTAATCACAGCCCTATTTAACCGAATTAATGCCAAAATTCGAGGAGAGGTGCTCACTTTCTGTGCTTCCCCATCAAGCCAGGTAAATGTCAGTCGTTTCTGTTTTAGTGCAAGCAGAGCTGGTGCAGATGATGGATCTTGATCCACTGCAGTCAATTCTCCATCGTTTGAAAGAGTTTCTTGAACCCTGCGAACAGTCTTATGTGATAGGTAATTTACACCATCAGCTAAGGTAACAGACATTCATAGCATCTAACATTTTATGCATGTAGCTTAATGTGAAAAAAGATTTGAAGCCACATCAATCAATGTATGTCGTAATAATGAGAAGTCTTTCAGACCCGAGCGAAGTCTCTTCCTGCACTAGAGGGATAGGGCAATTTACCAAAAAAAAGCAGAAAATGCATCCCAACGAAGACATCTTTAGCATTTATATATGTAGGACATAACTAAAAAGAGAAGGCATATGTAATATGCAGATGCAGACAAGTGGATGTCATTGCTGATAGATTACTGTAGGTGCTGGTATATTATTTAAGTGTTATCAATTCTAATTAAATTTTCATCTCAAAGTTATTAAACAGCAATGTTAAGAAAGAGCTAACTGTTAGGGATGTACATCCTCTATGTATTATGAGTTGATCAGTAGCAAGTCAATTCAGATTTGGTATGATCCAGGATTCCAGGTAGTGCATATGCTGACTAGGACTTTGATGGTTTACGTCGGGCATGGGTCTTTCATTCAGGCCCTATTGGGGCACCCTACGGGCCAATTTGCAAATATATAAGTCCAGTGGCAAAACTGCTGAAATNAAATCAACTAAAAACTAAGGACGAATAAGCCAAATGACAGTCTTAAGCGTTAATTAAGAAAAAGGAACTAGGAAAAAGAGCTTACTTCACGCATTTCATTGAGCTCCTGGCTATACCTCCCAGCTAAAACAACACAATACCATACCCTGGTATCCTTTCCAGCACGTGAAAAGCCCCGCGCATTGCAACCCAGTTCCATCGAAGTTACACTCCTCAATTGTGGAAGCACTGAAGAAGTATGAAACAAAGACCAGCAAGATTTGTAAGACACAACTAACAGCGACGCAATTATTTAAAGTCTTTTGACATGTCTCAATATCGCATTCTACAGCACAAACCCGGCATCTTAATGTTTTGCTCCAGCTAAATCTGAACTCAAGACATATAAACACAAACACAACCATCCTTGAATTATGATCACAACACAAATTTTGGAACTCATCTTTCTGCATATTGTCACCTGAAAATATGCCAACCTGAAAATGCCCACTTATGCCTTCATAGTGCTGTGAATGCCTATGCCAGTTTGCATGTTGGTAAAATTTGAAGCAGCTACATTACCACAACTATGCATACAATATGTAAAGAATAACTCCAGGAACTACAATGGTCACATGAAAAACTACGCTTCAATTAACTAGTAAAAAGATATATTTCCTTGTTCACATCTGGGTACATTGCACTAACCATCCATCCAAAGCCATTACATGACACTCTAGCATACGCAAAGGCACAAAGCAGGATATAACAATGGTTTTAAGACTTAAGTTTCTATATTGTCTTCTATATTCACTCTACTACTGGCATCTCTAGCCAGAATGAATTTTTTTAATTAAGCATTAATCACCAAAAAGAATTTTTGGTAAAGTGACTTATCACTTGGAGGAAATATGCTTGAAATTAACGAGTGAAAAACACTTTGTAACACGATTGTTGAAGTGGTGATGAGAAGTTTGAAGCAGAATTCTCCTCTATTAATACTGGAAACACTAACCATAACGTTCAACAAGAATAAACAGGATAACACCAGAGGAAAATTTGCTAACTCAATTTAAAATGAGCGCCAACGCTCAAACACAATATTGCTGACACTAGCGTAACATGAAGAAAATAAACTTGGCTGACTTGAATATATTTGCTAAAATCTCAAATTGATTAGCCACACCACAAAAAATATCAGATAAAGCAGTTTATGAAAAAATATGTGTTCAATTCACTTATGCAGTACACTAATTTATGAAACTGACGAAATGGCCAAATATATTGGTAAAAGGGAGAAAAGATAAGTACCTTGATTTTTATTCCTCTCCATAATATCCACAAACAAGGAACTGTTGACATAGCCTACAATCATAAACATCTTTCAGCTTGCTATCTTAGACAAGTCACTTATCACAGCCACCAGAAGTTACTAGAGAACAACAAGAAATGAGGAGGAAAATGAACTTGCCGTGATGAACCACAGGTTTGACGCCTGTTTCTTTTAGAAATACAATGGCAGGGGCAGATTCGACCCCTAACCTGTATAGATAAGACACTAGGTCATCTTACAACATCATTAAGTGAAAATTATCAAGGGAGAGCATAGAATTATAAAAGAATAACTAAGTAAAAGTTCAGCATTTCACAACAAAAACCTCTATTTGCTTTACCATTGTTTTTTATATTTTTTTCCTTTTTCTGTTAGACATGGAAGAGGAATCAATCCTACAAGAAAAGACTATTGTCTGGAGAACATGAATTAGCTGGCTCAAACCACGTCGTGGAGGTTCCACGCTAGTGTACAATAGTTTTTCTAGAATGCTGCATATTGGCTGACTATCCAATGAACATAGTGCCTTCCTCTTCTATTAAGCTAAATACATCAATTATGAAGTACCTCAAGGTACTATTTAACCACCCCTGTCCATAGCAATCAATGCTCAAACTCTGTTGCTGCACTTTAGTAAGTAGGAATTCCATTATTTCATATAGATAGATAAAGTACAAAACTATAAACAACAAGATTTTCAGGTTTCAGATCATGTAGATAAACTTGGGTCTCCACAACAGAAGTCGTTATTTATAGCATTACTCCGTATTCAGCAAACAACCCCACTCACAAGCTGAAGTGTAATAAAAAGCCAACCAGATTGCTTACTGAAAATAAGATTCAGAACGGATTTGGAATATCATTTATGAAATTTTATAAGAGTTAATAAATGATAGGCTATATAGCGTAAGAATAAAGGATTCATGTCAACCCCCAAATAGTTTGAGATTGACTCCTTGAAGCCTAGTTGATTGATTGTTAGGAATAAAGAAGTTGATATGAACATCCTTAAAGATAGTAGAACCAAGTTACCTACTCTAATGTAAATCCAAAATGAGATGTATTCTGAAAGAATGTGGAAGATGTAAACAGAAGTATTGATCTGTGTATAGTTTACAATTACAGATAAAGAAAAACTGCTAAAGGTTGAAGACCTGAAGTCAACAAAAGGAAAATAAACTATACTTTAGTCTTTTTGTAAACACTTATCTAGAACCATTTTAAATTATTACCACATAAAGAAATATGAGGGAATTATCATATTTAGGTATTTCAACTTATATGAATAACATTTAAGAAACTTTTAAAAAGTTAAAAAATCAAACAAACTCAATAATATAAGAAAATTAAGAAACGAAGTACTCTCGTCATGTCATTCTTATGAAATGATTAAAATTGGGGTATTCAAGCAACTTTTATCTTAAAATAAAAGAGTTCAAATCCATAAAATAACCAATGGTTTATAGAAATTTTTGTAGTTCCTAAATATGTCTTTCTTACCCTTTTTTTCCAAAAAAACAATGTGTTGGTGTTCAAAATCGGCTGAAAATTAGAGTGTTGGAGGGAGTAACTTATAGCAAGCTTGAACTTCACCTTATTATATCCAAAAACAATTATACTCATACTTTTAGATATAAATTAGAAAAAAAAACCATGTTATTAACATGTGCTAACACTGTAACACATGTACCCGAAAAAGGCACGATTTAGAATGATTTGACAGTTGTTGATCCCTTCTAGTTAACTTCGAAGCTGTTAAAAATTCACTCAGTGAGGAAAAGCCAAAAGAAAATGGAAACCAACGATGCTATGAGAAACGATAAGGGAGGGAGAGGGAAGAGATTTGAGGAGAAAAAAGAAGCAGAAATCAAGAACTTATTCACAAACTCCTCTCCCTCCAAAAGAAATAGAAAGACAAATTAACATGAGGGGAAAGGAAAAATGCATAAATTAGCGGGAAAATGAAACAGCAAAGCTAGTGTACATTACATATTCCACCACAATGAAGATTCTCCTTCCTGCCATAGCACAAACGCGAATGTAGCATAGGCTGAGTAATTCTTAGCAGCTTGACGAATAAATGGAGTTGCCCGTTCGCCGGTTTGAGAGAAGAAAATGACCTTGACCTTATCATTAAGAAATATATGAATCCTGTCAAATTCTACACCAGCGGCGTAAAAACAGTACACATGGCAGAACCAGGGTACTAAACATGTAAGTGTAAATGGAAATATATCCTCACATTCTCAAGCAGGGTGTATTCTTGCATAGAATACAACTAGTCAAGCTATACTTCAACAACAACAACAGACCCAGTGAAGTCCCACATGTGGGGTCTGGGGAGGGTAATATGTACGCAGACCTTACCCCTACCCGGGAGGGTAGAGAGGCTGTTTCCGATAGACACTCGGCTCAAGAAAGAGTCAAGCTATACTTCATCAAACAAAAAAAAAAAAAAAGAACTAGTTAAGCTATATGGAATGCAACGTGTATGTGCAGCCAGTCCAACCAAAATACTAAAACCTGTGACATACTTTGAACAAATTAAGAACATGACAACTTAGTCAATGCCAGCTACAGCAATTATCTAAACCATGGAGTATCAGTTAAAAAGAAGCTGCACAGCATAATATTCCCTCACTTTCTAGGAAACAATGGTAAAGGCGTAAAACATATTCTTCCTTTCAGGGGCTGGGATGTTATTTAACTTTAATTTTAAACACTAAGAGGACACTTCGAAAAGTGCTGCTTGGGATCTACAGTGATCACTTTCTAAAAGAAGATACGGCATATTGAAGGTGATCGTGTTATGGTAATACTTCAAAAAACTTATTGGTCGCCTTTTAAGGAGGATGTTTGAGCATCATCCATTATTTTACTCAAACAAAAAAAAACAATAGCATCTTATAACTAGAAGAAAAAGGTAATGATGGGATGCTCTTCATTCTTCAAGATGGTTTTACACAGATAGAGGAGTACGTGATTATGACCTTTGATAACTGCATTGTAATTGACCAGTTAAATATGATCGGTATACATGCAGTAGAATTGGTAAAAGCAAGGGAAACCTTAACAGATACTTTAGCGTGCATGTTAATCAAGCTAGTCAATCATAAGTTGCAGCAACTGGCCATCTTTCATCACTTAGTTTTCTTTCTTTTTTACAACTGAAGTAGTTGGGAAGGCTGTCAGAAGTTGTACCTTGTGGGGTTTGCTTTTCATCAGAAAATCCTGGGCCTGGAATGAAAAAGAAGCTGTGAATCAGAATATTTAAAGCTTGCAAAACTTGTCCATCATCAAGAAGTTAAGCACAAAGTTTGCATGCATACTGATCCATCAAGAAGTTACCACACACAAGTGATGTGGATGTGGAAAAACTCGTGATATACAACTAGAGAAACACATATGAATAATAGCCTGTTAGGCCAAGCTTTTGGGAGACAAGAAATGGTTTATTTTAAAATTAAAAAAAAAGTAGTAACTTTTAGACGAATTAAGGAGTTTTGAAGTATTAAGGACTTGAGTATTATTTTGAAGAATTAAGGAGTTTGGCCAAACTTTAAAGACATGTATTCTAGATAGTAGCATAAACTAATTTTCCTGCTGCAGACTGGAAATAAAATTTTGTAACTTCTCCTTGAAAGCACAAGAAGAATAGAAAATTAATTTTACAGGACAAAAATACCCTTACTAAAAATTAACATTTGCCAAACTATCCCTATTTATTTTACCTATATGTATCTCAGTTATAAAATAACATATATATAAGATGTATACCTTTACGTCAAATGAATATTAAATGACTAAAAATATTTCAATTATGACTTTGAGATAACTATATTTATATTGATTTGTAATTTTTTATTTATTTTTTACATTTAATTAAATAAAATTGAGAATTTAACTAAAGTGTCTTCATAATAAATATTTAGAATCGGTTATTGGTTTAAATAATACTGATTGAAAAAAAGTGAATGTTTTCTGTCGCTTTTTCGTAATATGACGCTCAAAACCACTTGATTGAAAGATCGGTCAAATACAAATTGTTTCTCTAACACTGACAAAAACAGTTCTCAAATCATTTGACAAACCCAAACTGCTACTCTCTCAGATGTGCTTTTCTGATAAATCTACTTTGACAAATTCTTCTCAAAATAAGCAAACTTTGGAAGTTTGAGCAAACGAACCTAATCCTAAAAAAAAGGCTCGCTAAAGTCTTTGTTCCTAAAATCCAACGAAACTGCCATTTTCAGTTTTCTCACACATATTAACCCACCCATCAGCCAAATTGTGCAATGACAGCAGATAAACAAAAGATGAAAGCTAAATCTCATATGTTACCATTGACTCCTTTGAGTAGTACCGAATACGTGGCAAACTTAGAATGGTCGTCGCAACCCAATCAGTAACTGAATCAATGGAAAGTTCTCCTTCATATCTAATCAGATTATGAAGTATTATTAGCAAAATACAACTAGCAGGAAATTGTGTTCAAGGCAAAGTAAGTCCACACTCTAGTTTTGACCTCCAACCAAGAAAACATGTCTGGATGACAAGAAAATAACATAAGAAATGGTCAGAAAAGGAAACTCACCTAGACATGCACCTTAAATCTCTACAACCTGGGGGGAAAGCCACAAATACTGGAACACCTGTAAGTGAACCAATAAGTCGAGTTAAAAAGAGTTGAAGAGATGGGGGAATTCATGCATCAGTGTCAGTCAATCCATTAAAGCATAATGAACTGCAATTCAAATTGATTTTGGTGGACGAGGTTATCCCTATCAAAATTGTAAGGTAAGGAAAAGCAGAGGTAAGTCCTAGATAAACATGTATAAAGTCAGAATTTCTCTTTTTCCTCAATCTCGGTTCCTCCATCTTAGCGACCGAAATTCTGGGCGCTAATGTATAATTTACACAATATAAGCACCTAGGGAAGAGTTAATCATGATAAGACCACTCCACCGATTATTCAGTTTCATATCTCCAGATCTTCTTACTACTGCAAAGGCATTTTGCATTGCCATCTCATATGTACTCTTTTTCTAAATTCGATGAGCTATAGTACTTCAAGTCCATCGCATCTTGCCTCTAATGAAATTATAGCAGACATGATTCAGAACTTAACAGCAGCCATTATTGGTCAAGGGCTGCAGTTAAATCGCTGAATACCACATAAAGCTATCTAATTCTTCTTTTTTCTTTTTCTTTTTCTTTTTTCCTTTTTTTGCAAAAGACAGCAAAAAATCCTCAAGTGTCAGTGCCACACGGTTTGAAACTCGGAGGATAATGGGCCCGCTCCTCTACCTTTCTCCACGTAAATACCAGGCTTATGTCAGTCCAAACGTAATAGTTATCTAATTCAGTCCCTAAAATATAAATTTATTTCCCTATTACGTTACCAATTGAACCACACTTCTGTAGATGATTTCACTGGAAGAACAAAATATCAGCCATAAATATGAACTTCATGAAATGCGTTCAAGCTTGTAATTCAGCAGAATATGATCTAACAGCTGCACTATTCTATCGAAGCATTTTTAGGAATGACAAAGTAAAATTTACATTTGTTTATTAAAATACTTTCCATGTCTAAAAATGGTAGTCCACCAGGTCCTTTCTCAGCTAGATATGTGGCAAGTTGAACATCAGCAAGATCAATAACTCCAGTATCTGCGACCCCATCCAGCAAAGTAACTGAAGACACAAGGTAGAAGAAATATATGGGACAAACACACCAAATAACATTAGCAGGGTACAAAATCAATACACCAAATAACATTAGCAAATTATAGATGGGAAATAAATGTCTGCAAAAATATTCAAACTCTTACCAATTCTCTTCCATTTGTTTGAAAATTGAGCACATCGCACACTCCCGGGAGAAAAAATCTAGAGAAGAATTTTGGTCAACACCCATCATAGGAGTAAACAAATGAAAAAATAAAAATTAAATAATGAAAGAGTATACAGCTCTGAGAAACTATACATATTGAGGTAATACAGGTTCGACATGCCAAAAAGAGTTTCATGGCATGTTATTGAACGATAGTATCTGACTATGCACTTAACCCTTCATAACAGCCGGATATATAAATGAGGGAGTACATTTTTGGTTGATAAAATAGTATGCCTATGTAAATCAGTGTAACTCTATATACACAGAGGATGAATAATGAAGACACAAACTTGTAGATGCATAAGAATTCAAAAGAGTAAGAAATATTCCAGTTCAGCACATATATTAAACCTGAATTAACAATGCCTTGTCAGTTTCAAGCTTGGATTGAAAATTCTCAGAGTTGATAACATCAAAAGCATGGTCTTCAGGATCTAAGGTACAAAGATAGAGAAATCTGCATCAGACAAACATAGATAGTGACTCTAGAAAAAACAAAACAAAACAAAACTAAAATCACTGGTAGTATCACATTATCTCTGGTTTATCTTTCTGTGGGGTTGTGGGGTGGCAGCGAGGCAAGTACGTGCCTAGCAAAAGTCTATCTAAAGAGGTGTTACAAACCAAAAGAAATTGTCTCCAGCAGAGGAAAGCTGATTGCTGAAATACTTCTCCTGACATACTGCTCTTTAGCCTTTTCAATAACATGCTGAATAGCCAAAGAAAACATATATTAAAACATAAGACGGAACAGATTAATAGCAAACATGAAATGAATCTACAGATTCCCATTTTTTGGTACTAAATTATCTCTGCAAGCTAGAATAGAAAACTTACGAACTGCTCATCAATACCGAATAAGTCATAATCTCTCTTCCAAATTTGATTTGTCAGCAATTCAAAAGCATAACGAGCCTGTGAAATAATTATGCAGCAATCATGCCATAGGAAAAATTCATGGTATAGAGGAAAAATGGTAATGATAAGTGGTGCAGGAAAGCCAGGCAAAAGGTGAGTAAAATCAACCACTTCACAGCTGTCTAAAATAGAAACATCAAGACCTCTAATCACAGGAAAGGCAGCAACTATGAACATACCATGGCAGGAAAAATGCTACACATGTCTTGGATATCCAAACGCATGCAATACCATGGTTAAGGGCATTGAATGCGTACAAGTTAGCAATAACAGAAACAAACATAATGATAAAGAAGCTGTTGGATAAAGCATCTGGACGGTTGGTATGAGAAAATCTTATATGTAAAAAGAAATTAATATTTATTAAAAAAAAAACATGTTAGGATCAAAAAGAAAATGTGAAACGACTAGGGAGAGGACGTCAGCATGAAGATACAGTAATGGAGCATATTAAATTATCAAGTGATGAGACGACTAACCTTGATAAAATCGATGGTAGAAGGAACTTCAACACCTAAATTCCTGTAAACAATAACATTTTATTTCCAGCAAATAAAATCCAACAAACAAATCCAAATCAATTTTTCTTGCTGTTCAATACTAGATTTGACAGCAATGATGTGCAATAGCTGAAAAGTGAAAGTGCAAGAAACTCGAAGCACATTCATTACATATCTCACGGAAAGCATATATATAATATGTTCACGAGTCATATCTACTTCACCTCATCCCAGCAAAAGGGATATTAAGACACTATCACGTTGGTGGACCTTATCAGTTCGTTGGGAAAAAAGTGGAAATAAATTTTCCAAAAATAAACGTCAAGTTACTATTTTTTTTTTTATAAGTACGAATGAAGTAGGATTCTCAAGTTACAATTTTTAAACGAAGCATCGATTAGGAAATATAAGACAGCCTAGTTTAAGGGATATATTTAAAAGCATAACAGAGTCTCTCTTCTTTCTCTTTCCATTTGTTCACTTTTTAAGAAGTGGCATAGTGGAGCTCTGTTTTCTCGATTAACTGACTTTCTCACTGAGCAGAACACACCCAGGGCACATAAGGACATCTGGCAGGAGTTAATTTTTTGAAGATTATGGTGACCCATTAGCACAAAATACTAAAGTTGCTGATTGTGTAAAATGCAATAATACGGAGTAAAAGCAAAATTAGCACAAGATGCAAGGATTACGAGTATTGGTCATGTTACATCCATAAGATTCTAGTAAAAGCGAATATCGTGACATGTTTCAGAGAGAAGTACTCCTCTTTCATAGAAAGAAGTGCTTTCAAAAAACTGATAAAGGGGCCCATTTCAGTAAGCTCAATGAGTGGAGGGAACAACCACTAGCAATGAAAATGATAATGTGGCAAAGGACAAGAACAACCTTGTACTTGGTATTAAGACTACCATTCCACTAGAACAAGTTTAAGTATAGCACAGAGGCAATCCAAACAAGTAAGAGCTATTTTAACAACAAGGCAATTGACGAATTTCATGGAATTCTTAGGAGAGTGACAAGGCATCTAGACCGAGACAAGATTTGAGCATCTATAAGTTTCACAACAGCAAAATCAGTAAACCTACGTGATGAATATTGTACAAAGTATGAGATTAATTCCACACACAGACACACACACCCTTAAGGTGTGGGTTTTGGGTACAGTAACGCCCCTGAAGGTTCTAATGAGACATAAACACCCCTTAATGAGGTGACTGATCACTCAAATTACCAGGAAAGTTTTGTGTTCTACTCTCAGGGTACCTATGTCCTGTTCAAACCTTTAGGGGTTTTAGGGTCTAAAACTCCATCCTTTATAGTGTTTGTGGAATTAACAAAAAAAAAAAGTAATTTCCCACAAAGGATAGATGAAGCAGTGTTGGAATAACAAGTACATCTAATATATTTCTTTTTTTCTGTGGCGGTGGAGTTCGGGCCCGCGACTAACAGCTTGTTTGGATGGTTGTTACCCACTGTATCGTATTGTATTGTTATCCCAAAACAATGTTTGTTTTGATTATTTATTTAAAATTGATTGTATCGTATTGTTAAATTCATTATTCCGGAACAACCAAAAGCCCCATTTTATGAAACAACCGATTTGGTGTGGTGGGATCGTTCCCTATTTTCTATTCTAATTATGCCCTTACTTATTACTCCATAATTCTATTTTATTATTTAAATTTTGGATAAAGGGCCAATTATATCCCTCTACTATGAGAAAATATTTAAATATACCCTGCGTTATACTTTTGGTCCAAATATACCCTTGCCGTAATATTATTGGTTCAAATATACCCCTCTTCCGTTAAGTTTATCCAAAGTGGAAATCCAATCTTACGTGGCACTGACATTTGATGAGTGGCATGCCACCTCAGCGCCCTTAATCCATATATAAAAGATTAAAATTTGGAATACAATATTTTTCATTGGTAACAGTAATGGTGGCAATAGTGGTGGACGGGAAGAAAATTTTAGTGGTGGAAAAAAAACAGAAGGGAGGGGTAAAATGGGTTTAGGGGCGCTGAGGTGGCAAGCCATGTGGTATCCACCTCATCAAATGTCAGTGCCACATAGGACTGGATGTCCACTTTGGACAAACTTAACGGAAGGGGGTATATTTGAACCAATAGTATAACGATGGGGCTATATTTGGACTCAAAGTATAACGAGGGGTACATGTAAATCTTTTCTGATAGTAAAGGGGTATATTTGGCCCTTTTCCGTTAAATTTTTTATTTTAACTCTACATCTCTAACCTATTGACCTACTTTGTCTTCTTCCATTCTTTCTAGAGTTGGTTTGCCCCGTTCTTTTTATTATCCAAGCCTCCATTCGATTCTTTGTCTCTTTTCATCGTTTTAATTCTTTTGGTGTCGCTAATATTAGTTAACCTTTTTTCCTCATATTTTTGCTCTTGTTTCCAAACTACGTAATTAATGATAAATTAGTAGAAAGAGGTTTTCTTAAATTATTTTTATGCGTAATTCTTGATAAATTTTATTCAAAAAAATTGCGGGTATTTTAGTAAACTTATCAGTTACAGTACTATACGATACAGTCAAACCAAACAACAAAATGTTATTTAACAAGAGCAAACGATACAATCTATTCAAACGTTGTATCCATAAAACGATACAATACAATACATTATAAAACAATGATTAATAATGATCCAAACATAGTGTTGAACCTTTTTTGGGGATTCCTTTGCCGTAGAGATTGGGATNATATAGTACAATACAATACATTATAAAACAATGATCCAAACATAGTGTAAGTCAAAGTGACCAATATATAGCAAAAGGTAATCAAGAACTATGTAAATATGTAACAATGGAATGCCTGTGAAAAGGACGTACCACTTTGAAGAGAGTTTCTCGTATGCCTGATTAACTTCCTCAATTGAACTTTGCGCTTTGATACCCAATGCTACAAGAATCATGCCATAATTTATTTATTTTTTTAAAAAAAGAACGGCATACAGTCGGAATAAGAATTAAAAGAAAGAATTAGTTAGAGTGTGGACTCACCATCATAATGCGAACGAGGGAAGGCACGAGGAATTACGACTAACTGATAGAAGAGTGAAGCACAAAAAAGTATAAAAGGGATAGAGTACGCCTTAAGCATCGACAGTATTGAAGAAGTGCCCGCTGGTTTTGCAGGAACCCTAGAAGAAGAGGACGTCGCCATTATCAAACTCTGCTTTTCGACAACCGGAGGAATTGTTTGGGACTTGGGAATGTGATTAAGAGCAGTGGCTGCCTACCGGTACACTGATGTCTCGGATCAGGACACGATTTGATTCGTAATTTTATATTGTCGGGCCAAGTATTTTCCATATCATATTCGGAGTTGGAGTTCGGGTTTTTTTATACTAAACATCCTTATAATACTACTCAATTACATGTACATTCTTTACATTTTAACATCAAATACTTAGACCCCTTATATTATAGAAATCGTACACAAAGATTAGCCTTCTTGAAGGTAGGGGTAAGGTCTGGGTGCACACTACCCTCCCCAGACCTCACTTGTGCGATTAGGGGTGTCAATGGTTCGGTTTGGCCGGTTATTTTATAAAATTAGTGTCATACCAATTTTTCAGTTATTCTATTATGTATAACCAAAATTATACTTTTCGAAACCGTCCCAATCATGTCGGTTTCTCTTCGGTATCGGTACAGTTCGGTTAATTTTTGGTATTTTTTTAAATATTATGTAGAATTCACCAGTAGAAGTAGAATGCAATAACATATGTTCTTTTATATGCCGTAACAAAATTCTTTAAACATTTTTACTGTTTAAAGGGTGATGAATTAAAAAATGAAAAATGGCTAGAGTATAGATCCATCAACTATTTTACAATAGCGTAAAAGAAATCAAGCAAAGGCAAAGAAAATATAAATCACACAAGTGGAAAGATATTAACCATAATAAAGTCTATAGAAAATTAAATATTCAAAAAGATAAATTTAAATTATATGAAAGGAAACATATTCAATACATTGTAGTTTGCTACTCATAATCGCTAGAATATTTTGTGTCTTACTAAGGTACTTGAAATAACTTAGTTTAGGTGGAAGTAGCATAATAAGTTTTAGGAATTAGTATTTTGAGTTTAATTACTTGTTGGCTTGTAACAGTTTTCATAATTCCAAAGCCCAAAGAAAAATTTAATTCATTATTGTTTTTAAATTTACTATATAAATATATTTTTCACATATATAATTTATTCGGTATGGTTCGGTATTTTTTTGATTTATTTTTATAAAATAAAAAACCTACCTTAATTATCGGTGCAGTTATAAATTTATATAAAAATCTACAGTTTTTTTTTTAAAAAAAAAAACTAAAAATTGATTCAGTACGGTACGAATCAGTCGATTTTTGAATATCCATTGACACCCCTAATGCGATTACACGAAATTTGTTATTGTTGACATAAATATTAGCTGGAGTATTATTTTCATTTTACTAAGATGTTATGTAACGACCCGAATTTTCGTTCTAAGAATTAACATTTCCGTTCAAAGGCTTAAGACCTCGAGGGGTTCGTAATACGCATTATGACCCGCATGTATGGTCAAGTTTGGTTTTTCGTAAGATTCGGAGTTAAATTTAAAAAAAGAAAAAAAATCTTATTTTTGAAGCTCAGATGGAAAGAGTTGACTGGAGAGTTGACTTTTGAGTAAACGACCCCAAATTAGAATTTTAATGATGTCAATAACTTCGTATGGTGATTTCGGACTTAGACGTGTGTCCAAATTTGGATTTGGAAGTCCATAGGATAATTCGGCGCATTTTGGCAAAATAAGATAGTTGACGTGTTCTAATTATATTATTTAGTATGTGGAAGAGGTCTATTACCATGATGGATGCCAAATGGATATGATAGCAAGTGTACGAGGCGTACTATAAGATATATGGGATCTAAGTAAAGTCCTAAGTCTAAGCCAAGTTGGAAAATTTCATAATATACTAAAGTTGCAAATGAGTATGCACAAGACCTCACTTTGGACGAGCATATCTACATGGATATAACGAGTTGTGTGATGCACAATCTATTAAATTAAAGCCCTTTGAGTCTAGTTTTCAACGCTTAAAATCGTTTGTCACTTGGATATTCCTACAAGAAGTTATGACCAAATTACCAAAGGCTGGCGGAGGAGCCTACGGATGCGACGCGTCCGAAAGAAATGGCTGGTAGGGAAGTGCTGCCATCGCGACCAGATCACGTCCGAAGCCCAGAAATCTAGGCCTATAAATACCAAACCGGGAGAGAGAGTATTTTTAGTGTTGGGGGTTTGGGTTTTGAGGTGAAGGGGTCATTTTAAGCTCAAATCAAGTCCAAATCAACCGAGGTAAGTGTTCTATACCCGGAAGTGATTACATTTCATGAATCTATATCAATATTCATCGTTTATTTCGGATTTGAATGAAAGAAATTGTGGTTTTTGTAAAACTTTTCAAAAATGAAAATTTAGGATTTGAAGGTCTATTTGACATCGGAATTCGATAATTTTTGTATGGTTGAACTCGTATCGGAATGAGTTGTCAGATTTTATGAGTTTCGTCGGATTCCGAGAGGTGGGCCCTGCGGGCAATTTTTGAGCTAAATTTCGGATTTTAATCTAGAAAATTTGTAAATTCATATAGAATTAGTTCCTACGATTCGTGTTAAGTATTTTGAATTGTTTATGACTAGATTTGAGAATTTCGGGCACGAATTCGCGAGGCAAAGGCTTATTGGAATTTTGAATTGGTTGCAAAGCGAGGTAAGTGTTTGGTCTAACCTTAGCTTGAGGGATTAGGAGTTGTGTTCTATTTGCTATGTGTTATTTGATGAGTACGACGTATAGGCATGGTGACGAGTATCTATACATTGGTGTCAAACATGTCCGTGAGTCTTATACTATGATTAATGTGATTTCGTTTTGTATGATTTATGCTCTAAATGATAATTTCTATTGAGGAATATAACTTGTGGAAGTATTATGGTTAATTGTTGAACATGGTAGAGTATTGGCTCAAGTTAAGAATTGAGAATTGGATTATTGAACATTGTAGAGCATTGGCTCAAGTTAAGAATAGAATTGTTGAACATTACAGAGCATTGGCTCAAGTTGTGAATCGAGTTGTGAAGTAAATGTGAAAAAGAAAAAAAAGTTGATGATATTATCTCCCTTGCCGGGATGTTATTATTCATGATATTATTTCCCTTGCCGGGGTTTTGTTGTGATATTTTTTATTTTCCTTTACCCAAATTGCTTTGTATTGTTGCTTGGGTGAGGAAGAGTGATAAAGCACGAAGGGTGTTGTCGTGCACATTTATATTATTCATATGGTGAGGAAAGAGTGATCAAGCACGAAGGTTGTCGTGCACATCCTTGATTTTCCTGATTCTTGCTGATAATTGAGTTATGTTGTCATTTATGTTTATTTACTAATTTTCTGTTGTTACTTAAATTTATTTCGATGTTATAGATTCCCTTACCCTATCTGCCTTGTGTTTGTTGCTTGGGTGAGGAAGAGTATAAAGCACGAAGGGTGATTCCGTGTATTATTTTGGTGAGAGAGTGTTAAAGCACGAAGGGTGATTCCGTGTATTATTTTGGTGAGAGAGTGTTAAAGCACGAAGGGTGATGCCGTGCATTTTCTGTTTGATGTGCTTACTTGTTATTAACAATTCAAGTGCATTAACTGTTTAGATCCTTTTACTGTTGTGATCCTTTGTGTTGGAATCCATAGTGTTTACAATACCTCGCCTTTTTTTTATATGTTCAATACTTCAAATTTCAAGAACTGTTACATTTTTTTAAACTCAATTGATTTCTCAACTAAATTTTCCTTAAACCATTTGAGGTTGTACTTTACTTAAAAGGGAATTTCTACTATATTTTAATTTATTGATTTCTCATATTAAAGGTAATGATTCATTCGATATTGTACTTTAATTGAAAAGGGTATTTCCTTTATCAAATGATTTCTAAAAATAACTTCATCATTTCTTGTTGATTTCCTAATTGGATTGGAAGCTGTACTCTACTTTATGTTATGTGAATGAGGCTCCTTGAACATTCTTAATGGTATTAGCTTATGGAACCTATGAACTGAGTAACATGAGAATATTATTGTGCAATGTGAGACAGAAATATGTGGGCACAAGGTACCGGGGAAAATATTATGGTTTTATTTAATGGCACGTGAGTTGTCCGTGCGGTTGTGATATAAATGTAGGCACTAGGTGCCGTGAAAAAATAAAAGTGGGCTGAGACCTATATTATTTATGATTATGAAATGAGGCGTCACAAGGTGACCTTTACTCGAAAGAATTATATTCGAAAGATGCTTATTTGAAAGATATTTATTTGAAGGACTTGATTAATTGATTGCACTTGTGGTTATTATTTGTTGAGAAACATTTATGGTATTCTTGTTGCCTGTTGTTTTTTATATCACTGGTTGATCAGTGTTGCCATCATTGTTATCCGCTTCTTATTATTTTGTACGCTATATTGCACAGGTTTATTTGGTAGTCTGGTCCTAGCCTCGTCACTACTTCGCCGAGGTTAGGCTAGACACTTACCAACACATGGGGTCGGTTGTGCTGATACCACACTTCTGTACATTTTGTGTACAGAACCAGATATTTGATCGATAGTAGCTGTTTGTTGCGGTGGAGACTCAAGGTAAACCTGTTGCAGCGTTCGCGGTCCTCGGAGTCACCTTCAATTGTACTTATTTCCATATGTTCCCTCGGTTTGGAATAGTGATGTATTTATTTTGTATAACTACTCCTAGAAAGGTTTATGACTTTTACTACCGGTTTTGGGAATTGTATTTTGTTCAGAGTAATTTAACTTAAAGTTAGTAAATACCCATATTATTACAGTAAATGTTAGACTTACCTAGTTTAGAGACTAGGTGCCATCACGACTTCTTTGGAGGAATTTTTGGGTCGTGACATGTTGTGTGTTTAGTTTTCATCATTAATAATAACTTTCTTCCACATAAGCTATTTGTATAAAAATTATATAATATTTTATTATATAAGACCTTTTTTATGATAGTCTATTTTATATAAATATATATATATATATATATATATATATATATATATATATATATATTAGGAAAAATAGTTCGGGACCCACCTTAATTTAACAACTTATGTTTAGTTCCTCCTTAAATTTTACATGGTCTTTAATACCCTTTCGAAGTTGGTAATTTCATAGTGTCGACCCCCTAGACGCTAACAATCCATGGGAGCGTGACACACGCGCTACCACACAGATTTTTTGTTCATGTGAT